GATTTTATTAATCAATTCCGGAGTGCTCACGTCTACAGGACGGCCTGAACGATGTTCATCTGCAGTCGATGTACGGCCACGTTTAAATTCATTTACCCAATCGTAAACAGTTTCAAAAACAGAGGCAGATACACCATGAACTACATATAACTCAGCTTTGATTGCTTTTAAATATAGATGTTTTATTATCGCTCGGAACTCACTTTTTTTCATTGTTAATAAAAAACAAAAGTTGTTCACTTTGATCGACGATAAAAATGGAACTACTTGATGGATCTGGCTGAAACTTCGGCAGTACTCTATTTAATAGTGACACTTGTGTGATGTTCGTATCACTTATAAATAATACTAATTCGAACTCTCGTATCTAGCTAATGAGTAAGAATTTGTTTCCAATAATTTTACTCTACTTGTCAATAAAATAAATAGATAAATCATATGTATTCTAATAATGATAAATAAATCAAATATATATAAGTAAGTACAATGTTTCAAGGAAAGTCAGACAATGCCCTAGTTTCTTATGGTGCGAATTGTCCCATAAGCAGAGCTAAAGTCTTCCTTGGATAGGATATAATTCGGCCCAAGTTTCTTATAGCGCGAGATGTTCTATAAGTCGAGCTCGAATTATAAGGAAGGAACAGTCTTGCTCAGTTAATTGCAATCAGAGAAAGAATTTAGGCATTCGCCAAGTTTATTCAGACTCATGCGCTCACCTTGCAAGGCTAGAAGTGAATGCTAGCCTGTGCAAAGGTGGGCCTATTTATACACAGATTTTCCCGCTTATTTTTGCAGAAGAGATGTCATCGAACATTCGAGATACATTCGCGAATTTTGAGTAATGAGTTTTCTTAATTTACAAGTAAATAATCATTAATATTAAGCTTTTTACGTATGTAAGCTTTACAAAATTTGTTATTCGTTGCTTTTATATAATATACAATTATCGCAAATAGTATCTTCAAAAGTTATTAACTAATAAAGTTAATTAACGTGATATTATAATATTTACAATAGAAAATTAATAAATTTTTATATAACTTTATAATTGATTCAATTTAGAAGTATTTTCTAAAAATGAATATTTAAATTAGTTAATAACATTTGAATTATAACTAATTTTTCATATTAGTAACGGTTTTTCCTAATCTTATAATGCAATTATTAGATTAATAATTTAAGATTCCTGAATTATAAAGCTATCATTATAAAATTAATACTTTCGTTTATACTTATAATATTATAAGCTGTATATAAATAAATTATTAATTGTTTATTTACTAATAACAGTTATTATTCAGCTGTTATTAATGAAACCAATTCTTACTCATGTTCTATACTTATTCATTTTGCATATTTACATTTTTCTAATAATTCATATTGTTAGCGTAATAAATAAATCAATTTTGCATATTAAAATTTATTATTATTTCATAATTAAATCCAATTTGTGTAATTATATTCTGAATCTACGTACTTAAATTTATATAATAAATACTTTGTTATATTAAAATTATCTCTAATTAACATATTTTTCTTAATATCCAAAATCATTATATCTATATCTATTACTTTGTGACGTCACGCTATTTATTTTGATTCGATTCTTATTTGTATACAATCGAGTAAACAGTGAGGTAGCGCCGCTTGATGTATTGATTTGAATAAACAGATAGATACGTTAGACTAGTTGCAGTAATTCAGTGATTTAATAAATAGCTCATAAATAGGATCGGTACACTTGCTGGTGCAATATAATTTTGGTTGCTGTGAGCGCCATTTTTTGGATTTTCTAAGGATTTATTGATCCACCCTCGTAACATTCAGAAAATAAACATCAAAACTGAACTAAATGAAATGATATTATTAAATTCCTTAATTTCATCCATACATTAAGAGTGAGAATTAAGAACATTTAAGGAAATAAGATAAATTTACTAACAAATGAAATGTGTTATATGATCTATAAATAACGTACAAGCTTTTGTAAACGTAAGATATTAGTTTAATTTCCATGACTTTATTGGACGGACGTGATTTGAAGAGTAAAATAATTTCGTCAATATTTTCAAATTGAATTCATAAAATAATTTGTTCTTAATTTATATTTCGTCGAAAAGGTAAAAAATTTCTAATGTTTATTGTTCATTCCATTAGCACAGTCCATTCACGAAAGTAATTAATTCAATTGCAGTATTCATAATGAGAGTCAATCCTTTGAACGTAATAAATTTATTGCTGGCACACTTTCAAACAGTTGAATTACCGATGAATAACCCCACTACTTATCAAGAAAATTAGTTAGCGGAAAACATAAAAAATATTTTATTAAATTCGATAAACGAATTTCAGGATGTAGAAATAATTTCAGAAGAAACGTTAGTTTTCCAGAAGGAATATAAAAATTCTGATACACAAATTATCTTGGAGGATATAATGGTCTAGTTTCTTCAATTATTTGTTCACAGTGACCACTTCAGATATCCACCAGTAATATACTGGTAGGACTAGCATTTACATAAAAAATGTTCTTCATACAAATTTTAAATAGATCTACAAAAAATATTTTCTACTTAGAATAGCATCTTGAAAGGTAAAGTTGAACTCGTCACCTTGGGAACGGAGCAGATTGTACCGACAAAAAGGCTGACTGTTTCGATATAGCTCATTTCACTCTTCGTGGGACTGGTGGTAGCTCCTTTGGTTTGGTTGGTCCGCCTCCTTACATCCACTATCTCCTCCGCTAAGGCGATCGTTCTATCTTCCGAAGTCTCAACCGCGGCACTCACCGAGGATGCCGGTGGTGCGAAGGTGCTTGATGCTTCTTCTGCCTCCCGAAGGCGTAGTCGGCATTTGCCCGGAAGATGGTCTCTCAAAGTTACATGTGGACAGATTGAATCGTATTGAGTGCTTTATTCTACCCACGTTCTGACGGGATTCAGTCGCTTTCTTTCTCTCATCCTTCATATAGCCAGCCGGTAGAAAATGCCCTGGCCTACCTTGTAGGATAAATTATTACGCCAGGTTCAGTTTCTGCTGCTCAATTAGCTTGTAAGAAACAGGAACGTGAATATGCGGCTACGGAGCTACTCGAGGTAGTTCCCGAGCTTGTACCATCTCCTCTTCCGAGTCAATCGACCATAACACCTCCTTAAATATAACATTGATGGCATCTTGTAATCAGCGACTGCAGGCTCCTCTACAGATTATCATCCACGATCCGCAGCTCCTATTCGAAGCTTTTCGAAGGCATGGCCAAATAAATTGTTGACCCTACCCCCTGCTACCGGCTAATAAGCGGACTCCATGCCGATCACTCACAAACGGTTGGAGGCGAGAGCACAGACAGTGGCAAAGAATGGTCCTTCGTCTTTCCGCCCTCAACCTTGCAACCGACACACGAGTCAACTGCAAGGTACACTGCCCGTCAATCACTTTTGCCATGCTTACCTCAAAATTAGGCAAACTTGAAAGTTTTGTATCTCGATCGGAAATCATCGTATCACAAAAAGCCGCAGGATATTTTAAAGGTAATTGCAAAAGCTTCCATTTAAGACGTGCAGAGACTTAAAAATGAAAATATGTGTTTTTTACAGTAAAAAAACTGATTAAAAAAATTTCAATTTTTTTAACCTCGACATAAATCAATGGCAATTTAGGACCAGGCGGTGGAGGACAAATCAACCTGAGGGGTTTGGAGGGTAATGTCTTTCCCTTTAAAATGAGTTCCCGCGGGGTTCTATCCGATGTTTTTTAACCGAGTTACGGCGTTTTTTGTAAAAAGCAACCTTTTTTTCCAATCCTCAATTATTTCGACTTGCGTACGTTTTGGAAAAAAATGCCAAAGAGAAAAAAGTTTCATTTTGTGTCCAAAAATACGAAAATAAAGTCAAAATAAAGAAATAGAGAAAAAAATTTTCTTCGGTTTTTTAGCGCATTAAAAAAATAAAGGAATTTAACTTTTTTTTTACGCTTAGTTTTAGTTTTTTTGTGATTTACTACGTCCCTAGACATGCCGGGGGATGAACGCCTTGCTATCGAGTGTTATCGAACTTATAAACTAGCACGGCCGCTGATCTACCGTAACGGTAGAGAAATTATAGAGAAGAGAGAACGAGGACCTAACCTTCTTTTAGCTAGTAAACGGGGTAAAGTAGACGGTCGAGAAAAACTAAGTTAGTGGTGCCTCTTTTTCCCTATCAGGTGCATGCCTCGAAGTAAATGGTAGCCTTCCTTATACGCACGGGCAGCCGGACAAGGATTCTTTCTGCGTGTATTCTTAGGAATTCGTAACCATTTAGAATCTTTTCTTTTTTTAACCTTGTACCGTGGAGCTTACGCTCTAATTTTGACAGGCTCGTGGTCACTCACTCACTCGCGGCTTTTCGAATTAGCTTACTTTTTAGGCGGCACGCGATGCACAAGCGATAAACTTTGCATCGCATATCTGTCTAGACCTGTATAGAGCGTGTGTTCTCGCTCTGTCTATCTGTCTGTCTCTCTCTCTCCCTCTTTCTCGCTCTCTCGCTTCTACTGCTGGACCCCTTGGGTCTCTTCCATTGCTCCTCGGCAATCGGCGCTGAAACAAAAGGCTAAGAGGCACATTTCTAATATGCATCCAACGTTGGTCACTGTGTTTTATTGAAAAAAGAGGGAAGAGGAAGAGAGGTAGACGAAAAATAAGCATACTGTTTGCTCTCATCATAAATTTATGTATTGTTATATAGTGTTGTATTAATTGATTTGGAAGTTTCTATTCGAAAAAACGGGATAAGATTCAAAGAACGGAAAGAGATATCCATTTCGTTTATCAAAAATGCACTTATTTGATATATAAGCTTGCCTAATTTCGCGATCGTAATTGATATTGTTTGCTATTTTGACAAAAAAGAATACATTACTAATATTGCGATATGCATTATATTTATTGCGGATTGTAATATTTTACGATTCTTGTTTTTCATTTGAAATTTTGATTGTAAATCTCTACTGATAATTACCTGATTTTTCAGTTATGCATAGTAGAGGTTGTGCATCTTCTAATATATATCTAATTCTGTCTGCAGGAAATTCGACATCTATTGGTAAATATGCCATTCCTGCTTTCAGTATTGATAATAAAATAATTGGTAATCGTTCTGATGGTTTCACGGAGACAGCTATAATTAAATTTTTGGACATGTGACGATTACAGTATGACTTTAAAACTTCTGCTATTCGGTCAGAGATTGAATCTAAACTTTCATATGATAATTTTTTAGTTTCTTCGTCATCTGAAAAAATATGTTCATATTAAAGATAATATCTCGGATAATTAAATAGAAATGTTTGTAACAAATCAATAACTTTATTTCCAATAAAAATATTAAAATGAAAAATTTTCAAAAAACGCGTAAAAACACATGTCAAGATAATAATAATAATTGCTGTAAATCTGAAACGTTTGACTTTTTACATAGGGTACACCTCGTCTTCTAAATTTTCTTCATCCGACATGATCATATTATCACTGTATGACGGTCTTACAAATTTATTAAATAAAAGAGTAGATCATTATTACTACAGTGTTGATGAGCAAGTCCATTCGGCTGCGAAATTATAAGCTTCTATCTCTCGAAAAGAAAAAGGAAATTTATTTCTCTAAAATGTTAAGATATAAAATTGTGACATCAAACTTATTTATTAAATGCTAATTACAAGATCGCAGTCTCGGTAAGTCGTACATCAAGACTAGATTGATGACATCGAATTGTAATTTCGCGTGATCGCACGTGAATTTTCATATCTTTGTCTTGAGCTTGCATTTGAGCGCGCGACAGCCAAGTAAGTTTTCACCCGCAATGCTCGCAATTTCGTCCAATTGCAGATCCGAACATGTGGAAAAGATGAATAGGTAGATAGATAAATAGATAGATAGATAGATGGCCTTTATTTTCTGTAAGGCAAAAATAAATACATATATTAACATATTTCTTAAATAATATATGATTGAAAATACAACACATTTGCTGTATAATCTATTACAGTATATTTTGCTAACAAAATAATTAAGCATTAAGTATAGATTTACTCAGTCAAATGTAAAGTGGTAACTTTTTCACAATAACTTATTGCATTACTGTATTTTTGAAGCATAAATGGTTATGGTTAGAACCAAAATCAACATGAGTAAATCGGATGCGTTAAAAAATAAACAATAAAATGGAAAAAGTAGGTCAGATAAGCCATACTTAAGTTTGAATGCCAGGCACTGCTACATTTTTAATAATTAAGTGATTGTTCTCCAGAAGAGTGCTACTCTGAGATTATAAGACGACGTTGTCAGTCATTTAAATCATACCATAAATATTCGAATATGACACTTGATTCATCTCGCAAAATAAACAGAATGTGCGCTTATTTACTCAAAGTCAAATTTTGCTAGGCTCAACTATGATGCATTGGATCGGGTCATGGCTTACCTCGATAGCACTATATCGAATTAGAACGATGTTGATATATACTGTAACAGGCTGTCATTTAGTCAATAAATCGTTGAATCCACCTAAAAGTGACTATACGACGCCTTGTTATCTATGTGCTCGAAGCACAGTGACCTACCTTGCCTCGGAGTGCGCCTGCGCAGAGTCTCTTCGAGGTTCCGAGTTGGGTTCCCCCAACTCGCCACTTAGCGGCGCTGTCGCTCTAACTAATAGCGCTCGTGCGGCCGCTACTGGAACCTAGGTTGAGGATTCCCGCCTAACGTCTCACACACTTCGTGCTGTGTTACCGGCGAATTCGAATACAATGTAAACAAAGCTAGGCGCGACCTCCGGACAAAGGAATGACAAAATAACGACAATCTTACTCGGAAATAACGATTCAGATGCACTTTATTAAACGAATTAACTTACACGGGAAATTGGCCGAGAGACTTACGCACGCACGCGTGATTGACAAAACACGCTGACTGCGAGAGCGAGAGAAAAGACCGCGAGTAACGCGAACTACCTGCTCGCACGCAATGTATAAACTCTTCGCGCTCGCTGCGCGGATTCGCACGCCAAATTGTAACAACAGTTCAGAAAAAGGAAGGTGCACCTACCGCAAGGACGATGTGGATACGGTGGCCAACCGTATCCGATTACGAATCGTCGAAACACCGCTACGCTGCTCGCCGCACCTAATGCTGTTGCCGCTGTTGTTGTTGCCGCCGCTGATGCTGCTGTTATTGCTGTTGCTGCTGTTGCCACTGCAATAATCACCGCTACCGCTACTGCTGCTACTGCTGCTGCTGCTGGCACTCACCCACGCAAGTTCGCAATATCACCCGGAACAATGTCAGTGGCAAAACAAAACACAGCGCGAAAACTCGGGACGGATGGAGGTTAGGCGCACAGATTGACTGAGTGACACAGTCGTACTGCCGGTTGCTACCTCCCCTCCCGGTCAGTGCCCCTTACGCGTTCTCTCTCTCTCGCGAACCGAACGCGGCTCACCTCGCTTAACCGCCAATTACCTCGCGCGAGTCAAACGATTTTCGGCAATCGTTGCAATACTTGTTTTTCATGCTGGCTTTTTTTTGGTTCTACCGGACCGATTTTCAAGAGCAATAATATATCATTACGATCTTTTTATTGATCTATTCGACAGAGTTCAAAAATATCCATTATTTTGTGATAAAATTAACACGTTGCCACCAATTCTTATTGCGTGGGTCAGTGAGGCGCTTCCACTCACGGCAATTGAGGAAAAAAAGAAAGAGAGAGGACTGGTCATAAAATAAACAACACAACCTAAAATGTAAATTCAACTTACGGCTTAATGTTATTAACGAATCTTTACATCTAAATACACGTGCGCACTATACAATCTAGAATTACAACTAACTGACGCAAAGAGAGACTAAATGTAACCGCGGCTAAATATTCATCTTCTTCCCTAGTCGAATGATCTCTTACGCACTTATTCTACTACAAAATTACTTAAAACTATGCGAAACCGACATCGGATGAATTGTCCGGCACCTGAGCGCCTTGACAACCCATCACCATCTTACTATAAAATTTATGTACAATAATTAAAGAGAATAACGTAAACTAAACTAACGCAACTTATTAATGAGCGCACTAAACAGATAGCCGGCACGTGAGTGTTTTGCTACTTTTATTCGTTGCGCACTAATAACCGTTGCCGGAGAGAGACCGACAGAACAAAGAGAGAAACTTGATCTTGAGCGATTATACTCCTCGTGCCGTCGCAGATTCCTCCGAAATGTGCTGCTGCAGGAACTCCTGATTGCTACCGCAGATCCAGTTGCTGCAAGCGGATTTGGTCCTCCTTGTAGACAGGCCGACTGTTGTCCCTAACCGGGCTGTTGCAAGTGACGATGAAGCAATCCGCCTGTTGAGTAAGTAGGTTGTTGCAGGTGGTGATGGTGTTATCTGCCGACTGGATTGACTGCTGCCACAAACCCCGTTGTTGTGGGTGATGTAAACCTTCTTTGCGACCGATTCGCCAATTGATACGATTCGATAGCTTTTCCTCATCCGAGTATCGTTAACTCTGTTTCTCATCCATTCAAAATTTGCACTGGCGAACGCACACACTTTTTCTCAAAAACCTCCTGTCTCGTGGCCGCTCAGTTGCGCTCGCTCCCATCCCTTCCTGACCTATTTGTTAGGCGGCACGCGACGCGCCGCTTATCGGTCACGCGTCGCACGCCAGCATTACACTGCATAGGCCCAATGCTCACTCTCTCATTCTCTCTCTCTCTGCGCTCCTCGACTTTGGGTTCGCTCGACTCCGCTGGTCCGTCCTTGGCGCTAAAACAAAAGGCCAAGCATTAGGCGCATTCTTAAATAAACGAGATTTTAATCTCGCATTCTTAAGAAACAAGAAAGAAAAAAAAGCGCATTCTTAAGAAACATAGACGAGGAGCAAGCATACAGCCTGCTCCCGTCACTATTTATTTAATATCATGGATGTGATCGATTTCAATTTATTATTTAAATGTATTTTTATATCTTCTTATATGTCAACAAAGATTGTATTATATAAATTTATTTTATGGAGAGGTAAATGAATCATTAGTTTTTCTATTGAATCAGGTTTTGACTTGTCTTAATAGATTCACTAGTGACGAAGATAAAATGGAAGTACCTCATAGGTAAGAGCGAAGGTTAGGGCTCTTATACTTAAAATGAAAAAAAAATTATATAATATTTATAAATGAAAACAACACTATTTTTTTTAATAAAAGCTAGATACACATAAATTTTCATTTGTAATTCATTGATTTATACTCTCCTTATTTATCCAAGAATTGTGAGTATTATCGAAGCAGAGCCATTTTACAAAGACTTCATTATCCCGTCTTCTGAGAATTTTTTCTACAAGATAGATATCAGGATAAATAGCTTTCTGTAGTTCTTGCTCGTAAAAACCACCAACAATGGGATTTTCTTGGTAATTTAGCAGGTGATATGTTACAGGTTTAGTTCTTGAAATACGATGAATAGTAAAAATTTCTTTAGACCAATTAGGCGAATATCCTTTTTCAAAAACGTGTTTAGATTTGCTCACTCACACTTTATCCCTACCTGGAATTTTGGTTTTTTGAAAAAACGTTGGTCATAAGAGAATCGTGTCAAGACATGCATTTCATTTACTTTTGTCACGTCTTTAGGCTTCATATTTATTTTGCGATGTTTTCGATTTTAATAAGATTCCATTAAACTTGGGAGAAAGTCAATCTACTTATAACTTCCTGTTAAACTGAATTTTTTCCACATAATATTTGTGAGTGTTCGATTGAAACGTTGACAAATTGATGCTTTAAGATTGCTATAAGTAGAATATAGGTTTATTTTATATTTTTTCATTAGACTTTGAAAATTTGTATTGTAAAACTCTTTGCCTCTATCCACTTGAAGATTTTTAGGAATGCGCCGTTTTTTTAATGCAGACTCCATTGCATTAGTGACATCTGAAGCAGTTTTCTGTTTTACTGGAACTCCCCAAGCATATTTAGAGAACGTATCTATAATAGTTAATAGATAGCGAAAACCTTTGTTCTCTCTGGAATAGCCTTGCATGTCAATAAGATCCGCTTGCCATGTCTCATCTATTCCTTGTATATCGACTTTTCAATGAGGATAGTTTCGACGTGCTGGTTTGTGTAACTTATCCGCCAAAAGATGAATTTTTTAATATAAATTGCATCTCTAGGAAAAATCGCCTCTTAAAGTTATAAGCTATACAATTTAATAATCAAATTACGCCATTTTTACAA